CCCCCCCCCCCCCCATAGGGTGAGGCCCCGTTCGTAGCTGATACAAGGCGGGGTTCACCAAGCCTCCTTCAAGGTGATTTGTAGTGAATCACCGACATAAGTATCTGCACCATCGTACACCGGGGCATGCCCCTTATTCTTGCGCTTGGCTTGGCTGGCTTGGGTAGGCTGGCTTGGATGGGGAAAAAAAGCTCCCGCGGCCGGGGGCCAGCTCAGACTGGACCGGTTTTTCCACCAACTCACTCAAAACCTACATACTAGTAAGAACACAGACAGACAACCATGGCGCTCTCTGTCTTGTTACGCCAAAGGTTTGCAGTACGAGAAATAACCAGCAAATATTCACGAGCCGTTGGCGCGTCATATTCATCAGGGTACCGTGTAGGAAACATGCCGACCGGCCCGGAGACGTTACCGTACCAGGTTGTACTTACCCGTACTACTGAACAGCAACCCAACGCCATCCCACGAGCCGGATTCTATCCGCAAGTCGTAGCGGCGAGGCGCTTCACCACTTTGAGTGAAAACAGAAAGGTCCAGGAAAGTACAGTCATGGGGAAGGTGGCTTTAAACGGAGCTGCTAGGATGGTGGAAGTGGAATGGTCCGACGGGGGTGTCAGCCGGTTTCCGTACGTCTGGCTGAGGGACAATTGTCAGGTGAGTCGTGTCTTTAGGTAACTGGTCTTTTGGTCCTCTGGAACTTTTGTCCTCTGAGAGGACATACTCGGGCGACGAATTATTCCCCCTTATCAACATCTAGATTTATACAGGACTATTTACATCAAATTTCCGATACCCTATTTGATTGAGTCTTAGCACCTGAAGCAGGCTTAGCACCTGCCATACATAATAACTGGATATGACATCCCAAACACTGTCGACCCCCCAACCCCCATGGTTAGGAGTAGGTCGGGAGCAAGATCGGCTATGACTGGCTGGCGTTCGGCAAGGTCGACTTCTGTTCGCCTGCAACAGCCGAAAGTTCAAAACATTCCGGTGTGGTCGGATAGTTTGGCCATGGTTGGCTGGTATTCAGTCTGCCAAATTTTACAACTACACGTTTAGTGCACTAGTCTAGTGTTGCTCCATGCTCTGTTCCACAGTTGACCGCCTTCTTTCAGTTACCAAATATTACAAAATGTTCAAAGATTTTATGTCAGTTTGGAGACTTTGGGTTTGGGAACTTTGTACTATAGTAATCCGTAATGCCTGTGAACTGGGTAAGGGGGCACACCTCATTTTTTTCGGGCTTCCATTCGAGTCTGCACACCCTTGAGTCTAGCGACTGTCTCTTCCAGGGAATAATTCGGAAGCCAAATAACTGTATATGGGATGGAAGGATATTCCTTCTCCTACAAGACTGACTGAATTTTGTTTCTTCAAACTCTTAGATTTTTGTGGAATTAACGAAAAAATCATTATTTTCATGCCAAAATTAATGTACAAAATTGGCAATTTTCGCTTAGCATAAACCAAGAGAAAAATAAATTTCCGGCAGATACGACTGGTGTTGGCAGAAAGATACAAACCTCGAGTATACCTGATTCAATTATAAAGAAAATCATAGAACTCAGTTGATTTTATTCATCCACGGCGAGAAGGGTCCCAAATACGCCCATATCACGCGTAAGTGGAGAATCGTGGTCAAATGGGCGGATCACGCTTAGGGCGCAAGGATACCTGGAAGTGAGTATCCAGGCCGAAATCAATCTTCACCGAAAAAATGGCACTTCTTACTCAGCCATACTATGATACTAATATCTAATATCATTTCAAAGCAGATTAGGAGAAATGTGAACTCAAACTTGACTGCTCAAAATCCTTTCGTCCCTTTTTCTACCGCGGACTATAGCTACCACGGACCCCTGTCGCTAAAGAACTGGTGTGTGCACCGTTTGGTAACAAATGCCTTCCCGCGGGACTGCTAATACGTCCTTCTGTGCAATTGTCTGTAATACCTTCTGTGCAATTGTCTGTAGTCCCTACCACCACACAAAATTTAAGAGAATTGTTTTGTTTGTGTGTTTTGGCCACCCTATGCTTTCGTTTTAGTGGCTGTTGGTTGCCATGGCAACGCCCATTTTGTAAAAATGGCGGATTTTTTTCTAGTCTCACCCAAAATAGACCATCTTTAACCTTCTTTATCTGAAAAAGTGCATATTTTATTGTCATCAACATATCTTATCATGAATATTTTATCAAAGAAAAGGATATAAATTTTTGTTCGAAATGCTTTTGCAGTAAGCTGTAGCAGACGTTAAGAATGATCTGTTTTTGTAAAATTTCAATATTGAGAAAAATTTCAATATTGAGAAAAAGCCATTTTTAAACGAATCATGGCCGCCTAAAAAGCAAATATAATTAGTTGATTTTTGCTTTGGCACAGTTATGGCCTAGCCTCTACCAGGCTTGAGGGCGCGGCTGGAAATAGTATCAAGGGACTGCAAACTGTAAACCGGATGGTTAAACTCCCTCGGCGTGTTATCTCTCTATTTGGCCAATTTCTACTATTTCCAGCCGCGCCCTCAAGCCTGGTGAAGGCTAGTAATGGCCTACACATTTGTATTCGTCATATTAGCAAATAAGTTTGGGTTCTCCACCGGGCGATCCACAGTGACACCAGGACTTATCCATTGATTCCACTGCATTTTAATGAGATAATTGCCTTTGCAAACTGAAAATCGACTATTTTGAAAAATGGCCGTTGCTACGGCAACAAGTGGCCAGGGGTCCAAAACGTACCCATTTTTGTAGGTTTGGGCCAAGGCCCTACCACACCGCTGCCCTTAAGGCCTCCACGTCATAAGCCTTGTTGTCGGAAAAGGTTGTCGAAGTAAGAGGAAATAATTATAAAGTGTCGACTCTGTTCTGTTATTGACTGTAGACATGTATTTTTGTTTGTTACTACAGTGTCCACTGTGTTTTAACCCCGATTCCCTCTCACGGCGTGTTCTGATGAACGATCTGGATGTGAACGTTTCTCCGGTCAGGGTAAAATTACAAGGTGATTTCAAAGTAGTATAGTGTCGACAGAACAGGTATTATATTGTGGCTAGTGGATTGTTGCTATCACTTGTGGATTACATAACTTTATTGCGCAACAATTGTACAGTGTACAAAGTATGGCATCTACTAACGTAAGTACATATCAACTACATTTTCATAAGGCTAGTCTAATACAAAAGTGGGTGGCTAGTATGAGATAGGTATCAACTTATACAATCGTTTAAAGAGTTTCGTTTAAAGAGTTTCTAATATCCATACAGTCTTTAATATATATCCCTATGTATAGCATGTAGGGGTTGTCACAAGTCAATATGTATTTAAATTTTCTTTCCAAGTTCATTGTGGTGAATGCTGGGAAAGAATCTGATAGTCTAGTGTATAGTGCATTGCGTACATTAATATATTTAGGACACACAATCAAAAAGTGATATTCGTCCTCAATAAGCTCTGGACAAAATGGACAAACCCTCTGGTCATTGGGAATTTTATGGAATCTTCCGGTTTCTATACTATGTTTGTGACAGCCAATTATATCGCTTGTGGATTGAACTGGGGAGCGTTGTGGCTGCCAATCATAGTGGTTTGTGACTTGTGGTTTGAGCGGCTTTCGGCTTGTGAAGTGAACGTCCCTTGGGGGATTAGTATGATAGGTCACACAGAGGTCATTTTGGCTGGACAGTTTGTAGCCCCAGGAGGTCGTGCTGGGCATGGGTTAATCCTTTTGTTCTTTTAATTAAGCAGGGATGATGTGAGCTTGTCGTGAAAAAAGTTTAAAAATGACCGCACCGGGATTCAACAGGTCCCGGCCTAATCAAAAGAACAAAAGGATTAACCCATGCCCAGCACGACCTCCTGGGGCTACAAACTGTCCAGCCAAAATGACAACTGTATGACCTATCATACTAATCCCCAAAGGGACGTTCACTCCGAAAGTCCCAAGCCGCTCAATCCACAGGTCGCAAGCCACTATGATTGACAGCCACAAGCCCCCCCCCCAGTTCAATCCACAAGCGATAGCCACAATCCACTAGCCACAATGGTACCTGTTCTGTCGACAATATACTACTATTCAAGGTAACAGGTGTATGAAATGTAAGAAAAAGAGAAACTGTCAAAAATATGTTAATACAGAAAGAAAAAGCTTCATGGTAAAATTGGTAGAAAATGCGGACAATCCGGAACTGTGCAATTAACTGAAAACCGGAGCGATAAGATTTTGGATTAGGCCATGTTGATTTCATTATATGGATGGCAATAATGACGTCCTCTGGAAACCCCAAAAACTGACGCGAGCGTCCGAATGAAAAAGAGGATGGCAAAAAAAGTATCCTTCATTATGAAACCTACGTGGTCATAAAGGTTGAACTGACTAAACACAGAAGAATATGGTATGGTGAATAATTTATGGTATGGTCATTTTTTTTAAACGGACGAAAATATATGCGCATGCGCACGTAGATGTCATTAATCAAATCAACATGGCCTTAACTGAATAGCGATCGGGCATATCTATAGTTACGTAGTGCCCTTGCTTGCACAATTTAATGGACAGGGCATATAGGGCAACGTCACAGATGCCAAAATGGCGGCCTTCAGCGTCCAGGGTGTCTGTTTCTTCGTATTTTACGATTAACATTTTCCCCAAATTCTCAAATTTTATCGAAGAACTTTATTGACACAACAAAAGTACAGCGACTTTCGTAAGGTCTAAGACTGCATGTATTATACAGACAAATTCATGGTACAACGAAATTAACCTAGACGTACATACAAAACAATAGATTAGTCAACTAATACTACTTTTTCTAAGGTCTAAACGTTCTTTGATATATTTACCTATTTGTACACAGTAAGGGTTATTACCTTCTTGGATAATGATATGTCTAGTCACGTCATTTCACATTTCTTGAAGCTGTTCTGCCAAATCCACACCGTCAGTCAAACTGTCTCTCTTCCCAGCAAATGGAAGTTTGCTGTCAGTAGAATGGCCGCAGGGACACCAGAGTCAGTACGACTGGCAGTGGCTGAGAGAACGCTGTTTCTCACCACAGGCTCGGTCAGAGAGGGAAAAAGACTGGCAGAGAAAGGTAAAAATCACATATTTATAACGATAAAGTTATTGAATATTTACGCCCTACATGAGCCAAATGCACTAGGTTGGATAACCGAGGAACAAGTACGACACACTCGTTCTCATTCAAATGTACAAAATGCTGTTGTCACTCTTTACGACTAGATATGAGCCAAATGACGGACCTCATCGTTGCTTTCTTCACTTTCCCACTACACTTACTATGTTTCACGAAAAATTTATCACAAAACTAGGTTTGATTGATGACTTGAGAGAAATTATGGTCGCGGGTTGGATTTCTCCCCCTAAAAAGCGGCTGTCGCCTGAGAAGAAATAGAAACTTTAAAAAGCAACCTAAAACGTAGCAATTTGATTACGGCAGTAGTTTTCTGCCTGGTGAAGTCGGGTGGCTAGGCCTTCTGACTGATCAAGTCAGATCGCTCCTGTCACTATTTTTGTACGCCGTGCGAGGTGGTTCATACCTGTCGCCAAGTTCTGTAACATCCGTTACCGCTCAGGTAAGACGGTCGTGCAGTTTAGATAGAATCACATATAAGACAAGAAATTGCCATTTTGATGACTTTTAGCAAGTTTTCTAGGTTTCTAAGAGAAGAAGAAAAGAGTGTGTGCTGTCATTTGTAGCCACCTTCGCTGAACAAATTGTTTTACAGTAATGAATGTAACATCCGTTACCGTTGTTTTTACTTTCAATTTTAGTTTCTTCACCTGGTATATAAAACGTCGCCCAGTTTTGAAATGTCCGTGCTTATGCCTCCTTGTTCTCAAAGGATGAAGATAAAAACTGCAGATCTTCTTGGAGAAATAAACAAAAACGTCGTTTTGTAACATCCGTTACCGGTAACAGAAGTTACACCTGTAGCGCAAAAGACATAACAAGAGATTGAATTTCCCTTCCCTACGCACCATAAACATAATAGTTGGAAATAAAGTAGAAAAAATATGGATCCGAAGAAAAATAATCCTCTGTGGCATCAACAAACTCAAATGTTCTACTCTTCTTTGCTTCGAAAGATATTTTTTGCTACTTCTATACACTGCACTTAGATATCTTTATGTGTTCGATACGTATATATTTACCAGTAAATAATGGGTTGACAGAAGTACTTTCATAGATACTGACGCCTAAACTAATGGCTTTTGAGGTGATGTCATGAATACAAGCTTTATCGTACACCCAATTCATGCTGATGTTCCAGTGTTTTTGCCCCACTAAAAATGCATTGTTTACATATGTCTTATCTAAGTGCATAGATTTTCGGTAACTTCCCATGGCAATTAAGCTGTCCTCTTTTGGTAATCATTAATTGAGATGTTTTCCTAAAAAATAAGGTAGGTTTGCCTGAAAAAACAGGTCATCAATTTTTCGACCAAAAAATCACCATTTTGTACATTTCAATGAGAACGAGCCTACATTGCTAAGTTAAGTCTGTATCTACAATTATATATAATTAGATCTCTCTTTTTGAATGAAAAAAAGTCCATAGTTTATTCATGTACACAGTAGTTCATGGATTGCATAATACGTTTGAACACTTACTCTTTCCGTAAGTACGAATATTTTTGTTTTGATTGTGAGGAACTAATAAAAGATTTCTGTGAGCATTCTAAAATCAAAGTGTATATTAACAGTGCAGATCGTTCCAAAACAATTTTTACTTCAGGAAGCTTCCAAGGGGAAAAGATTTTATACTACCGTTGACCATTTCTACTACCTGTTGACAATACATTTCGAATAGTTACGCTGACTTTGGTTTTTAACATGTCACAGTATTATCCTCTGATACAATGCTGTATAGAACTTTTTAAACTCCGTATTTTATGCAAATAAGTTCTAATCAAGCCTCTACTCAAATTGCAAGTGTACTTTTATGTAAATACGTTTTAAGCATGTATATATACGAATTGTTATGCCTGTTGATGTAAATTTGTTTTAATCATGACTTGAATTGTAAATGTTGTAACGCAATTCAGCCTCTGTGGCTGCAAAGTTTGTGGCATGGGTTTTTGAACTGAATAAACCATTCATTAAGGGGGTCGGTATTGGAATTTGTCATAGCTATAACTTGTAGCTATATTGAACAGTGACAAAAAACTTGAAAAAAAAAGTTGAGTGAGCCGTAACCACACTTTGAGATGAATATTAAAAATAAGGTAGGCCAAAGGTTCCAGAAATTCTAATTTACGGTCTTCCAATCCACGCCTGTTGCCTTGTGCGAGCCGCAGAGAAAATTCATAAACAGCTTCAGTAAGAGTTTCACAATAAGGCCATGTTGATTTGATCATATGGATGACATCCTCCGGGAACCCCAAAATTGATGCGCGCGTGCGAATAAAAAAAAGTTTTGCAAAAAAAAAAGTTGTTTTCATTGTGAAATCTACGTGGTCATTAGGGTTGAACAAATGGGACAGAATATGGTTTGGCGAATAATCTAGTCTTCAAGTTCAGTTCTTTACAATTTCGTCTTTTTTCGTTTGATTTTGGCATTCTACGACATTGGTATGGTTTTTTTGTAACTTACGGTATATTTTTGCTCATTTTGCAACTGTTTTGTACGATTTACAGTATGGTTGAAAACTTTTTTTTTTGAAACGGCCGAAAATTCATGCGCGCGCGGATGTCATCCATATAATCAAATCAACATGGCCTAATGAATATAACAAGAAATTAAACAACAATTTCGATCACGTTATTATTTTTACTACAGACACAGTTATGGGGTGCAGAACTAGTACACAACCTGCCCAAAGCTGATTTTCCCGCCATACTGACACACGACCGCGCATTGCACGACTTTTTGGCCCTCCTGGATTCTGTCGGCCTCGTTCTGGTGCAGAAGGTGCCCTGTGACGTAGGACAAGTAGAAAGACTGGCCAATCGGGTGGCGTATCTCAGACCCACCAACTTCGGGTAGGTGCCTTGATTGTAATCCAGCTCGTCTGTTACAGGAATAGATGATAGAATCTGTGAAAAACGCACGCCAGAAAAAAAAAAAAACTTTTAGAGCGAGAAAGTTAGTACCTGAAAGGAAAACCCAATGACTAAAAGTCAGTCAGGATGTTCTTTCTTTTGTCAATTATAGAATCACAAAAACCGTTTGCTATCATATACTCAATTTCCTCCTGTTTAATAATAAATAAACTTTCTTGCTATTGCACAAGAATTCTACAACTATAGCAACTACCGGTACGTAACTACAGTTCCATACGTTTAATATTTTTATCTAATACCATACGTGGGAAGTGAATAGGTTTTTACAGTTATTTATTTAAGTTTGACATTCTTGTTTGACATAGCAATTTGGCATAAGACCAGCATGTGCCGACTTGCGATTTTTGCAAAATTAGTCATGTAGAAACGCAAACTTGCGGCACAAGCATGTTATTTCTGTGGTTTAAAATGACTATTTTTTTTCGCCCGCTCGCAAAAGTTGGGGGTTTTCAGAGTAAGTCATTTATAAGATTATGTCATTGTGGCCTAGATTTATACCAGTTGAGGTAATAGTTTAATTAGTAATAATTTTCTCTCATTTTCCTCACACAGGAAGGAATTTGTGGTGGTCAACAAACCGAACCCTAGTGACTTGGCGTACACCACTGGTAAACTAGGACTTCATACCGACCTAAACTTTTACGACCATAAACCAGGGGTCAGTGTTGTTTTGTATTCGTTATATTTTATGTATAATTTGTATTTTTATCGTGTATTTTTAACGTAGTATAGCTACAGCGTATGTCCCATTTCCATGTATATTTTGCATTTTTAACGTGTTTTTATAACATAATATTATAGCTACACTGTATGCCCCATATGCATTTTAATGTATATTTTCTATTTTTAACGTGTCTTTCTTTAACGTAATATAGCATATACAGTGTATGTTCCAAACGTTAGTATTCACAAATAAGAAAATTGTGTCATACACAGGTACAAATGCTCCATTGTATCGAGCAGACAATGAGGGAGGGGGGCGAGAGCCACCTGGTGGACGGCTTCAGTGTAGCCTATCAACTCAAAGAGGAAAACCCGGACGCCTTCCGGCTTCTCACCACGCTCAAAGTCAACTTTTGCAACGTAGGACTGGACTTCCACAAGTTCTTTCTTAGACAACGACAACATACAATCAGGTAAAAAAAATCAAACCTTAATACCGTTGCAACGAACTCTTACCAATGCAATTTTACGGCGGCAAAGACAATAAATATCCTGAATGAGGAAATCTGTTTGTTATTGACAATTATTACCGTTTCTTAGTATATTTTCGTCATTATTTCATACAAGAAGTGTTTAGCCCAAACAAGCTACCGTTATGAAAACTAGATATTGCGCTGCTAAATTGATTAAGCACTGTGACACACGAATACGAATTTGCAATAAAAAAACACAAGGCCACAGACCACCATTTGAAGTCCCCATTGTAATACATATACATGTGTATGTTTACCATATACATACACATGTACATGGTAAACATCTAAGAACTGACCCCCGAAAATAATTTCATCAGGTTGGTAGAACTTAAGAGCCTCTCATCTAAGAACTGAGCTGTCAAAAATCACCTATTCGAGTGTGACGTTCAATCATTGCAAACTCACATTGACAGGATAGTCTAACCTACAAATTATCTTTTTAGTCCCAAAATCCCATTTTTCAATCAGCTAAAATAAGTAAGACACATGAAAACACTAAGAGCATGGCATCTGGCCCCCTGTACACCACCAAAACACAACAACATGGCATTACCTTTAGAGCTGTACCAGTCTGACAGCCAAAACAAGACTAAAAGTTTTTTTTTAAACTAAATTGAAAGAGAAATAACTCCAGTTGGAAAATGCTAGCATTTATCCACACATACCAAGAAAATGTTGTTTTCAGTTCAGAGGGTACTCAAAATGGACCTTTGCACATTATCACGTTTTTTTTTCTCTTCCATATTTTGTCCAGCCTAAACGATCAAGGCGAGGTCCAGTCCGTCAGCTTCAGTGACCAGGCCCGGGACTCCATCTTGGATCTGCCTGCCGACCAGGTCCAGCCTTTCTATGACGCCCTGAAGGCCTTTGACACCATCATGTACCTACCCAGGAACTGCCTACGTTTCAAAATGGCGGCAGGTCAGATACAGTAGTCAGATGTACAAGTGTTCAGTTGGCAAATTACATATAGCTTCATGGGGCAACAGGCGATATACTTTTTCAAGACAGGCGAAAATTCAAGTAATAGTAACTCTTCTTCCCGGTATTGGGTCGACTTGTTACCAGCGTTTCTCTCCGGTTGTGGGGAGGGCATCGCTGCCCAGTAATAACTGACTAACGGTAAAAACCGTTATCCTGTAACTAGTCTGTAAACGTCGACAGAATGGTTTAAACTTCAATGACTTCTACCTCTGCTTGTGTGGGAGTGTTGCCTCTACATGACTTTTTTGGGGGGTCGGTTTTGCTCCAAAGCTGGAACGTAAATTTCGTCAAGCGAATGGGAATTATTTAAGCATGGTGTAGTTTTAAGTACTACGCAAAGTCTATGCTAACTGTAATTCTGTATATATGAGTCTATAGATAACTAAAATTGTATTGCTTTGCGATGGTTTTCATAGTGCGCCGTCAGACTTTTGACAATTTTAAAAAATATTTTATATAAATTATTAGAAATTTAACATGCTTAAATCTTTTATGAGAAATACTTGTGCGATTCCCTGTAAGCGTCAAACTCTTTTTTTTATCATGTGCTAATGTCTCAACTGTTTGTTGTCTGTGTAGGTGAAATGATTGTTTTCGACAATACCCGGACCCTACACGGCCGTTCTGCCTACAGTCTGGACGACATACGTCATCTACAGGGCGGCTACTTTGACTGGGACGAGATCTACTCGCGCATGCGCGTTCTCAAGATCGACCTTGGGATCAAAGACTAGAACACCTGAAAAATACCTAAAATTTTTAAATGGCATTATGTAACATTCTTGCTCCTAAACTCGAAAAAGTATTCTTGCTTTTTTAATTTTGTTTCTAATTTTCTTATGAACTAGAAAAAAAGCCTTCATCAGCTTATCCCTTGGCCTTTGGAGTCTACTCCCTGGGCTGTATAATAACATGATTCCTAGCCTGCCTCTCGTGAAACAGACCGGTGTATGCAAATATATGATTGTTCTGTCAATATATGGTGCGACGGTGATCCCCAAATTGTCTTTGTGTGTGTGTGTGTTTGTATATGTGTTTTTGTGTGTGTGTTTGTATATGTGTGTGTGTGTGTGTGTGTGTCGTGTGTGTTTGTATATGTGTGTGTGTGTGTGTTTGTATATGTGTGTGTGTGTATCTGTGTGTGCGTGCGTGTTTGTACAAGAGACAATTCTCATTAAACACATATCTCACGTGAGCTTAGTGCTTTGTGCTACACATAGCGTAGAACATTTTAAAAGGTAAATGAATTGTAAGCATAGTTATTTATTGTAACGTGTATTTATTTATTTATTTATTCATTAAATTTTCAAACGATCGGGTAGCCCATTCAATTCGGTTTTCGATGGGGCCCAGTGTACAAACATTAATATGTCAAAATCATCAGACAAAGAGAGTAAGTCTATGACAAAGTTATTACATAAGTAACACAGGATTAAGAGCAAGTGTCTGTAAGGATCAAACAATGGTGGCAGGGGTCAAAAAACTTGTCTCGGAGAGACAAGTCGACCGCTCAAAGTAAGATACAAAGAACATTGCCGACCTAGTGCCAACGGCTACTCCTCAGCTATTTTCCACCACCTACAACACAACCAGGGTCACTCTTTCAAACTCGAGTCCACGGATATCTTAGACCGCGAAACACGCTGGTGGGAAGAGGCAATATATGAAAGAATGTACAACCCCACCCTCAACAGGGAAGGGGGGCTACGAGTCGATCTTTCCGGCACTTGGGATTTGGCACTCCCAGCCCCGAGGACAGACAAGACTTAAGCTCCTGTTCTGTATAAGAGGAGCTTTCAGACTAATTTGCATCATTTTGTCTTGACTTGTCTGATTTTTGTTCCTTTTTCGACTTCCAAAAATTTGTCTTCACTTTATTTGCATATCAATAAACAGGTTGTACTTATAAACCTGCTTTCCCCTCTGGTCTCTCAGTCACTGACGAAAGCTAGTGGATACTAGCTGAAACGTTTGACGTTTTCAAAATCATATCCAGTTGCTTGAGTAACTGTTTTTTTGGCGTATTGCAAATATTATTATTGTACATCTTTTTAAGTGATCATATTATACTTTCTACATCCATCATAAACATCGTCCATTACTGGTCACTTTACTTTCATGCCATACATCTGTGTACCTTAAATTTTCTAGATACATTCATAATATTGTTCGTATTCATAGATGTAAACCCGATAAAGGTACATGATTTGATTTCAATGAGTGTCGAACAGTAATGTTCATTTTCTACCCGAGACTTCCCTCGACCACAACTCGTTTCCGAGCTCCAGTCACGGAATTTGCTATTTCTGCACCCAAAAAGATGTTGATTGTGCAGAACAGGAACCAAAAAGCATGCCAGGGAAAGAATTATATCTGTAAACCGATGCATTTTGGTTGCTCACAGCTTAATTTCCGGTCGGTTCCAGATGAAGGCGGTATTTGAGACAGAAATCAATTAATTAAATGATTACATACTTTATGCACATTCGTCACTTCGACTTATATTCTGCTGTTAATATCTTTCGTTTGTTTTTATGCTTTTTGTTACCTTCGCCAAGAAGGTTATGTTTTCCTGGCCGTGTAAATGTGTGTGTGTGTGTGTCTGTCTGTCTGTCAACAGCATAACTCGAGAAAGCTTAGATAGATTATCTTGATATTTGGTAGGTGGGTAGGTCTTGATGAGACCTGAAAATCATTAGATTTTGGACCCCCTAGCGGCTTGTTATGGTACTGCAGCTAAACTTCCGGTGTGTCTGTCTGTCTGTCTGTCAACAGCATAACTCGAGAAAGCATAGATGGATTATCTTAATATTTGGTAGGTGGGTAGGTCTTAATGAGACCTGGAAATGATTAGATTTTGGACCCCCTAGCGGCTTGTTATGGTACTGCAGCTGAACTTCCGGTCTCGATATCTTATGATCTTGACATGCTGGGATGACAAAATTTAGATAATAGATAGATCTTGTGCTGGGGAAGAAGTGACATGAGTTTTGGCCCCCTAGCGGCTTGCTCAGGAACTGCAGGGCTATCTGTTTAAAAATATTCAAAAGATACTCAATAACTGGTGGACGTATCGTCGTGATTTTTGGTATGTAGGTAGCTCAAGTGACGCTTGACATAATTATGCGACAGTTATGCAAATCTGGATCTAATTTGCATAATTAATGGGAAAATTCTATAAATCAGGTGCATTACATTATAGGACTATTCAAGCTTGTGACATACGTAATTGAAAACGAAACACAGGCAGATATTGATTATGTAAATTAACACCTAATTTGCATAATTAATGAGAAAATGTCATAATTCCATAATGCTAACTGCCTGGAATTTCATACTTGGGCTATTTGAAAGTTAAGTGAAGGTGAACATCATTAAACATAACTTATTCAAAGGACCTCATTTGCATAATTTTTGAGGAAATGATAGAATGGCTTCCTTTGTTAAGATAAGGCTGTCTTTTGATGGAGAATATGATCAACTATATAATACAATATTATAATACAATATTATAATATAAATATAATACAAATGAGGATTTTATTTGCATAATCAGAAGGAATCATCTTTGTCAGTCATAAAGATTAACATCATTTGGCAAAGGTATGAGGTCGTGGGACTCTAGTTTAGGGATAAAATCGGGGCAAAGCATATGCTTTGAGTATTCAAACACATTCAAGCTGCAATTTATATCAACACATGGGTTGAAAGAACACAGCTTCTTTCATAGTGATGAAAATTCAAGGAAATATATATATCATTCATGATATCTTGCCTCATTAGTCTACGTACGTCGTCGATCCTGAGCACTGGCTTCAAAACTGTCGCCTCTGCTGTTTCTCCCGTACAGCAAAGGTCCGATGCCTATTTAATACGCGGATTGCTCCATTAAGCTTGTGGCCTATATGAGTCTTTTGCTCTAGAGTCAGCAGGTTACTTTCGGATCGTTTTTTTAATGTAGAGTTTATCAGACATTCTGCTGCATTCTCTGACCATGTGAGCTCCATTGTTCTGGGTCCTGAATTACTGGATTGAGGATCAAACAAAGCAAGCTGCAGAGAGAGACCTCATTCTACCTCAGCAAATTCCAATCGGGCATTACCTTCACGCCTATATATGGCAATGGGTAGGTAACAGTCTACAGCTATTTTTTTTTTCGTTTGTTTGTATGTTAGTAGTAAAATGAGCATGTGGTAAATGATCATGAGTATAACAAAAGGGAGTGATAAAATGAGCATTAGTATTACAAAAGAGTAGTAAAATGAGCATGAGCATAACACACGGGGATATCGACTGACATGTCACATAACCAACTGAATTGCACATAAAGTTTGCAAAATTTTCAGAGATGGCACACACAACATCTTAAATCAATATTATAGCTGAAATGAAATTTCTAGAAGAATTTGATATTAGACATGATATTACAAGCTTTATATAAAATCAATACCACTAGGCGAAATGCTCAGGCAGTAACTTCTGATATTTAAGACTGCTCATGATCAGTACGGTATTTTCTGCTAAATGTATGGCGTGCATGTTTACTTCTTTTTTAGCTATTTATTTTTTTATTTACTGGATAGTACGTTGGATAGTACGAAGTGAGGCTATGCCTCGTCTCAAAGACAGAAAAGATAGGGAATCAACAGGAATTTTATAAATCTTAAAACAGTGCTTTTGTACACCATCGAGTACATTAACATAGAAGAACATTTTGTCGAGTCACATTTTTTAAATCACATTTTTAATTTTACATATTTCTGATGGATTAACATTGTCAATTCTGACTATCAATATCATGCAAAACGCCCTTTACCATTATAACCATCCCAAACGTACAGTGACCGCTAAGTGTTTTAAAAATACAACTATATTTTAGATTGCTAAACGGTCACTAAAACAAATAAAAAATCGCGTTGTTTTTGTGATAACGCACTGACTGTTTTGAAACAACCAACAGTGGCATCCATGATGATCACAATGAAAATCCAATAAGATACCGTTTGGAGACCCGTCGAAAACGACCGCTCAGAACGATCTCTCCAATTCGCTTGAAGGTTTCCACCACCAGGGTGCCCTCTTTTCAAGAAATGAATCAATCAATGAATGTATGAATGAAGACCATTGATGTGCGTACATACCCACTGGGTTAAGTACAGGTATAGGTAACAAGAGAGGGATAGAATACAGATAACATTTGATATATCTATCTTGGCTTGGATTCGTTTCCGAAGATTATACATTGATATATACATTGTCGAGTAACTACAACTAAGTACAATCGGCTTCTTCTTGCTTCTTACTAAAGATTAAAAGGTACAAACAGACATGATTCGTAATCAAAGGTTTGTCTAAGTTTATTAGAGAATGTGTATTTTACTGCTTAGATCTATGAAGCTGGGAAACATGGATTGTATCCGACTAGATAGTTCTCTCTCTTTGCTGTATAATTGACCTTTTATTACAAAATAAATGCTCATCTTCAATCCCTTTTCACAGTATTGACACATTTGTTGTTCCAGAGGCAATTGGCGATTCTAGATCAATTTTTAAAGCAATAGTTAATTTTATGCATCGATGAAACATTCTGAACTTTCTAACGGCCTTATTTTCATGAATCATGTTTCACAGCAGATTCTGACATCAAGGTCGAAAACGTGTATGACGATGTGGACAACGGTGTGCAGGACGAAGACAAAGGTAACGGTAACTTTGTTGTTACCTTCAGCAAAATATTGTTATGTAACATCATCTTGGATGGAACTAATATGTTGGGTAATTTGGGACGGACCAAATTTAGTATTTAGAGCACGTATACGCGGCACACGGGTTAAGTAATTAGTAACAAAAATTGTTAGCCTTTTTGTGTCTTGTTTTATCTATTCTCTACAGAACCTCATAAAAAGTTTTAGACAATGACAAAAGCAGAATTGGATTCAGAAAATTAGTACGCCAAAATTTTAAGACAAAAACTGTAAACGTTTAACATCATAAAATGACTCAAACTAATACCACTCCAT